ATTATTGGGGGGGTTATGTTGACTGGATCAAATTATTGGGGGGGTTAAACCCCCCCCCATCCCCCGTGTAAATTACGCCGGTGAGTCTTCGTTCCACTTTTCCATGCATCCTTTACAACCAATAAGGCTTCGGCAGCAGGTTGAGAAAATGGGCTTATCCAAAGGACCTGCAATAAAAGAGTGTGTTTTAGTAACTAGAAATATGTATTATAGACTACCAACTAAATATTTAATAGCATTTACAAACCTTTGCAGACTACACAGGCAAAGGCAGCCCTTAGGGAAGCAACTTCTGCTTCTGAGAGTGTCAGGGTGGTTGTCAGGGTGGAATGAGCGATGCCACTTAAATCTCTTAGAGGTTTGGACACTTCTCTCAGTTCCTGAGCAGCTTCAACGACCTGTTCAGTGTCTGAAATGACATTTTGAAGCCCCATATCTTCCCTTCTGCTGCAATCAAAATGAAGAATATATGGAGGCAGACAGTGTTAATGGGCAGCAATATAAACTTTTTTTCCTAAAAACAAAATAAAATGCCTAGTATGAATTGACTTAATTACATGTAATTCAAGTGATTTGCCTTTGAGTTTGACATATTCCTTATTGCATTTACCTTAGCCTCCTCTTTTTACTGCCTTGTAAGGCTGCCACCTGCTCTTCTGGCACTGCATAGACTTTTCTGGARTTTTGCTTCCAGAAATCAGACCCTGTAATAGGTTTTATTAGAACTTGGTATATAGTTTATTGTGATGTGGAATTCTAATTTTCATTTAACTTGATCAAGTCAATGCAATTATAATCATGTTTTCTTAGTCACATAGATCTGCTATGAATTGTAAAAAACATAAAGCAACCATACCTCGGGTTCCTTCTGAATCTATGATCTCGTTCCCATGGATATCTGTCAAGGTCAGGGACCCCTGGTGGCCAAGAGGTTCTTGCACTTTAACAAGTATTGTTGCCACGCAAGCCTCAAATTCTGTGAAGCGTACTGTGATTATCTTGTTGGTTTCCAATTTCCCATTGATAATTTCACCAATTAGAATATTCCTGTTTTAACAATAAATTCAGTTAAGTTAACAAAACTTTGGTAATGTGTACAAAACGTGTAGGGTCACAATTACCTTACAAAGGTTTTTGTCCCACTGGCYCGGGGTGTGGCACAGGATGCACTGGCAGCCRGTGCGCTTGGAGGTCGATGGAAAGCAAAGCGCACAGGGTTCTCTTGACCTTGAACCTTTTCTGCCATGGGGACTGGATCACCATGAACTTCSTAGTGGGCACGTGCAATCATGTCGAAACAGTTGAAGTCCCCATCAGAACGTGGAAACAGTGCAACATTAGTGTCATCTGTAAGATAAACAGTCTCCCTTTGCACCTACAGGAAAAAGAAAATCAGAAATCTTGATTGATTGTGCCTGTCTGTCCTTGTATGTCAGTGAAACAAGAATAAACTACACTATTTACTAGGGCTGTGTATTGGCAAGAATTTGGCGATACGATACATATCATGACAGAGGGGTCACGATACGATATGTCCCGATATATTGCGATACTGTAAGC